TTCCAATTCTGATAATTGTGACATTAGACCATTCCTTTGGGACTGTTCTTCCTTCTTTAAATATGCCTGGATTGCTATATACTTTCCTCTTAAGACTGCTTTCGCTGCGTCCCACAGAAGTTGGGGCTTTGTGTTGTTGTTGTCATTTATTTCCATATATTGCTGGATCTCCATTTTTATTGGTCATTGATCCATTGACTATTTAGAAGCATGTTGTTAAGCCTACATGTGTTTGTGAGCCTTTTTGTTTTCTTGGTACAATGCATTTCTAGTTTTATACCTTTGTGGTCTGAAATGTTGGTTGGTAGGATTTCAATCTTTTGGAATTTACTGAGGCTCTTTCTGTGGCCTCGTATGTGGTCTATTCTGGAGAATGTTCTATGTGCACTTGAGAAGAATGTGTATCCTATTGCTTTTGGGTGTAGAGTTCTATAGATTTCTATTAGGGCCATCTATTCTAGTGTGTTGTTCAGTGCCTCTGTCTCCTTACTTATTTTGTCTGGTGTATCTGTGCTTTGGAGTGAATGGTGTGTTGAACTCTCCTAAAATGAATGCATTGTAGTTTATTTCCTCCTTTAGTTCTGTTAGTATGTTCCACATATGCTGATGCTCCTGTGTTGGGTGCATATATATGTTTATAATGGTTATATCCTCTTGTTGGACTGAGCCGTTTATCATTATGTAATGTCCTTCTTTATCTCTTGTTACTTTCTTTGTTTTGAAGTCTGATTTTGTCTGATACTAGTACTGCTTTTTTCTCCCTATTGTTTGCATGAAATATCTTTTTCCATCCCTTGACTTTTAGTCTGTGCATGTCTTAGGGTTTTAGGTGAGTCTCTTGTAAGCAGCATATGGATGGGTCTTGTTTTTTTATCCATTCAGTGACTCTATATCTTTTGATTGGTGCATGCAGTCCATTTACATTTAGGGTGATTATCGATAGGTATGTACTTAATGCCATTTCAGGCTTTAGGTTCGTGGTTACCAAAGGTTCCTGGTTATTTTCCTTACTATGTAAGAGTCTAATTTAACTCACTTAGTATGCTGTTACAAACACAATGTAAAGTTTTTTTTCTATTTCTCCTCCTTTTTCTTCCTCCTTCATTCTTTATATATTAGGTATCAGATTCTATACTTTTCCTCTATCCCTTGATTGGCTTTCGGGATAGTCAATTTATTTTTGCATTTGCCTTGCAATCAGCTGCTGCACCCTCCCTAACATGATTTTACTTCCTCTGGTGACAGCTATCCAACCCTAGGAACACTTCCATCTGTAGCAGTTCCTCCAAAATAGACTGCAGAGATGGTTTGTAGGTGGTAAACTCTCTCAGCTTTTGCGTATCTGGAAATTCTTTAATCCCTCCTTCAAATTTAAATGATAATCTTGCTGGATAAAGTAATCTTGTTTCCAGGCCCTTCTGCTTCATGGCATTAAATACATCATGCCACTCCCTTCTGGCCTGTAAGGTTTCTGCTAAGTCTGATGTTAGCCTGATGGGCTTTCCTTTGTATGTGATCTTATTTCTGCCTCTGGTTGCTTTTAACAGTCTGTCCTTATCCTTGATCTTTCCCATTTTAATTA